CAAGAGCAAAACCCTCTTCATCATGAATCACCTACAAGAAAACAAACTAAGCTGCTATTAAAAAAATAATCTGGTTTAACCTACAAACTAACCAAGGTACTAAAACATCAACACTTTATCAAAATGCTTCATTTACCAATAAATGAGTAGTTGATTTTAAAATAAACTTACTCAAAGTAATGAGTGGATGAATGGCAAAGAGATCAATCACCGCGATTACTGCCAACTCAACCCTTCTAAGTCTAGTTAAATTAGACTGCTTAAAGGTCAATACACATTACTTATCAACGACTGCTTCACTTTAGGCATTAGAAAGTCAAAAACTCTTCTGGAAGTTCAAATAATGACTTCTTACCAGTGGTGTGCCTCAGGGTTCGGTGCACAGCCCGCTTCTCTTCTGGATTTACACCACCTCACTGTGAGACGTAATACATGCAGCTCTATCTATCTCCTCCTTCTCAAAACCACACCTCCTCTCAGCTCATATCTCAGCCTATCCTAACACCAGCTGAAATCTGTGAGGACACAAACTCCCGATCATCACGGTCAGTCCATTAGTTAATCGCATCACTAATACCAGACAGATGTAAATAAATAATAAATGAAAAATTTAAAAAGAAATAATTTTGAATAAACTAAAATTAAATGTTAGAAAAAACAAAATACAACAAATAAATATAAATACATACAAAAACAAATCAACAATTAAAGGGATAGTTCATCCAAAAATGAAAATGTGGTGTTTATCTGCTTACCCCCAGGGCATCCGAGATGTAGGTGACTTTGTTTCTTCAGTAGGACACAAACTGAGATTTTGAACTCAAACCGTTGCAGTCCATCAGTCATATAATGTCAGTGAATGGGCTCCACAGCTTTGAGAGTAAAAAAAAACATACACAGACAAAACCAAATTAAACCCTGCGGCTTGTGACCATACATTGAGGTCTTAAGACACTAAACAATCGGTCTGTGCAAGAAACTGAACAGTATTTTTTTTACCTCAATATAAAATACGGTTGGGCAAAAAATTCCACGTCTGATGATATATCAAAATCGTCTTCCATTGTGATGACCTGTACTTCTAAATATCTTTAGATCATCGCAGTGCCAGTGAACACGTCCTCAATCTCTCTGCACTGTGTAAGTAATGAATGACGTATACGCGTGACAGATCATTTCCGCACATGCGTCTACTATCATAGATATGTGTAGATGCCCTATTCGACCGCTACAGATATGTTGACGCGTCCGCCATTTTGGAACGTATAACGGCCCATAGAAACAGTCACTAATGAGACATCTACTTATATATATATATATATCTATGTCTACTATGCCAGAGCATGTACGCGTCTCGCGCCGGATGTTGTGAACGCGTTCAGACATTGCGATGGATCAGAGGTAAAAACTGATATAAATACAGTTCAGTTTCTTTCACAGACCGATCGTTTCGTGTCTTAAAGGGTCATGAAACCCCGTTTCAGCACTGGTTAGTTCTCACCACAGTTTAAAAAAAAAAAAACCGCTAAAAAAAGTGGGCGTGGTGCGCAGCGGAGCAGAGGAGGGGGAGGAGGGGAGACAGACAACACACACAGCTTCGTGTTCAGTTTAATTTCGCTCCCATCGAGTTAAAACACAAATAAATGCACAGCCATTTGCACTCTGCATCGAAAAACATATATATGAACGCGCTGCTGCACCTCTGAGAACTTTTAAGGCTTATTCTGTGGCGTTTATATAAGCCTTTTGACGGGTTGTGTCACAG